CTGCTGCAATGCATTTTCTTACAATTATCTTGAATCCCTCTGAAACCTGCCAGAGGTGCCAGAGCTAAGGAGTGGATACACAGATAAGACTTTGCATTACAAGGTTTTTTTCAGGAGATCCTGGGTTGCTGTGGTCTCTCAAACAGCCCGTAAGCTGCTGTGCCAGAAGCTGAATGGGAGGCTACCAAACAAGTAAATGATTCCTTATGGCCCAGTATCCAATATACCTACAACCTGCTCTTAGACCAGCCCAGACCAAAAAGAGTGTAAGGGTGACTTGAAGCCATCTGCCTCTTCCTCCCACGGGTAACACATTCTTACACAGGATCATTGCAGGTGAAGGATCAAATTCTAGCCTCACATGCTTAGTTAATACCAGATGTCTCACTGAAAAGCTCTTTTGTAGAGCTTTATAGTGATCCTCAAATGTTCTGTATTTCTTGGCTTAGAGAAGACCATTTTTATTTTGTTTTATGAGTTGTGAAGTGGAGCAGTTCTTTCTTCTAAGGTGTGACATTAAACAGTCCTCCAGGGAATTCCTTTCAAGAAGGATTAGTACTGTTCTTTGATGAGGTCTAATTTATTTCTTGTATTGTGCTTGTAGACAAGCTTGTCACCACCAGCAAAATGGTGAACTAGAAAAACACCACTGAAACAAGAAATAAAGAGTTGAGTCAAGACAATGTAAAGAATGGGATTCCAATGTCTATTCCATACCATTTGCTCAATAAAATTCATTAAATGATCTAATGTTCACCTGAAAAAAAATCTTGTCTTCCAAATATGTCCATTTCATTTACTGTGAAGCATGTATATTTGATACTGAAACATGCAACACACAGTACAATACTCTGTTTAGTGAGAGTCAGCGGATGCAACAATATTTGTAAGAATATATTAAAAAAAAGACATTGCATCTCTACTTTACACACTTTAGTTCAAATAGATAGGGCCCAAGTTGCAAAAGTTGTTTATTTTGCAACTGGATCCAGCACAAATGTTCATGCACTAGGGACTATGCTAGGGGTTTCAACAACCCTTCTGCTATCCACTTACTGAGAATGAAGCTTGCTTTATTTCTAGCGCTGGGCTCTTGCTCTTGAAAGTCTGTAACCCAGCTCCTGGTTGGCAACAGTGCTTTTAAATCAATTTTTTATTATATTTTGACATTATGTGCTGCTGTTTTAATGCTAGAGAAAATAGGGTGCTGCCAGGATTGAATGCATCCCACATGTTCCAATTTAGTTTTCATGTGAATTTGACCTCTGATACATAAAATTCCTATCTAGCAGTCTGCACATATGTGAGCCATTTTTGAAAGTGGAGAGAACAGAGCTCTGATTCAGCTGAGTAGAACATTCCTATATAATGATGCTCAAAGGAATTTCAAATTAACTAGTGTGTAAATTTATGAGCCTCTTTTATCAAATAAATGTTCTTTTTTATATGCAGAAATTGTTGCTGTTCTTATACTATTTTTTTATGTGGAAGGGAGGAGAGGTAGCCAGTGCACTTATACTTCATTTGAAAAAATCCAGAAGGTTGTCCATTTTATGAACTAAGATCTGGGGGAATTCTTGCAATTCAAGTGAATTTTTTTTCCTTCTGGCACCTTTGCTACCAGGAAGTTACGTAGAGACTGTGGATTCAAAACTTTGTATAAGCAAACAGCAGCAAAAAAATCAGGGAGGGAGAAGAGATGTTTGCGTACTTTGTTTCTTTTTTCCCAGTGTACTCTACACCATGCCTAGTGGGGATGCACAGAACTAAATCACAGGCGTGACTTACCTATTCAGATAATGCAGGCTTTGGTGCAGCAGTCACACACTGCAAAAGCTACAGCTGCTCACCACTGCACTTCCCCCCATAGGATTAATGCACGAATCTAGGTGCATGATAAAAAATAAATTTACCTATTTTAAAGTAAAAAATATCAGATGTGTTTTTAACTCTTGATTGTTTTTAATTTTCTGACAGAGACTGTTAGATAAGCAGTACTCTGAGCATCCAGATTTGATGAGTAATATCACACTGCAACACAATCGAACCTGTAGATCCACGCAAAACTTTTGATAAAAAATTTCAAGTGAGCATGGTTTGCCCCAATTGTGTTGTGTTATTTGCAAAGGCAGTTACTCTACAGGGTTCTTTGTGAAACAACTCCTCCTAGAACAAGATGCCACTTCTCCATAACCCATGGATATGGTGCATTCTGAATCTACCCCAGGGCTGGTTATTATGAGTAGAAACTTCTGCTTGATAGGCATCTTCTAACTCTGTGTGTCCAACAATAAATCATGCTACAGGCCCAATAGCCATGAATTTGCAGCCTGATGTTTACACTGTGCAATGTGAGACCTTCCTGGTCTGCTCCTGTGGACTGCCTGGGGGAAGAGGTACATTAAGGGCACTTCCAGATCAGATCATCTAGTTTAGCTCCATCTGAAGAAAACCATTTCCTGGGTTGTGGGACCCCTCAGACCTCTTTTTGGTTGGGAACCCAAAGCACAGTAAATGGGTCCACTGGGAGATTCACTTCAACAGCACGTTTCAGATCCAGCCTAAAACACCTATGCAGATCACCCGAGAAGGCTCTGAGTCTGTAGGTGCAGCTGCCTGAACTAGACTGACTGCACGTGCTGAGCTCCTGCTCCTCAGGCTGTACCACACCCAGCTCCCACAGGCACAGGAGGCCCTGTTCTGTTAACCTGAAAACACAGCTTCCTACGCATCCATGCTTTTCAACAATTTGGTTCTTAGAATCAAGCTACCTAATTCTGACAATTTTTGTGACAACAGAGGTGACTTGTTGGAAACAAGGAAGAAACTTTAAATTTACATGACAACCCTAATCTGACCTGTAACTGTCAGAAAACACATGAGAATAGTGATAACAATTTATCAATTTGCCTTTGGCTAATCTTTTGCTAGCTTCTTTATAGCTAACGACCTAGGATAAGAACCTCTACTACTAAATATTCCATTATTCTATTTCCCGTGGTAATTAAATAGTATTAAATTATAAAAACCTCACCTCTTGGTCACAGCTATTTCACTTTTGCTCCAATTCAGGTTGAAGTGATGGGCCTATTGCCAAATTCATTAATTGGTAATGTTGAACTAACACAGCACAGGTCATATTCCTCCACAAAAAGATACTACCAAGAAACCTCCTTTACTAGTATGGTAATATTCACACTGCTCATGGGTGGGGAAGAGACTGACAAGTAAGGATTTGATGTCTTTATAAAAGAATATGAACAACTCACTTCAACTGGCAATGATTGGCATCATTTAGAGCTGAAAGTGAAAACTGTAAGTACTATAATAGCTGATCTATGATTTAATTAAATATATATGTTATTATATCACAAGACACAGCAGTTCCAGAATAACTGTGATAAAAAGACTAGATCCCATGTTCTCCACTGCAAAAACTGGATGTTTTCTTTTACTTTACAGCTTTTAACTCCTCCCCTCTAATGCATTTTATGATACCGTATTGTACTTCCATCATTCAGGACCTGGGTTGGACCTTTCCTAATAATTATACAGCCAAAGAATTGCTTGTCCCAGCAATTACATGAATTCATGATTATAAGAACAAAAGAGACTTGTGACCCACTCTTTGATTTCTCATATAAGACAGGCATTATGATTTTCCTAAGTTCATTTCTGTATACCTTGTATATTTGTGATACTTTTCAGAAACACAACCACAAACATTGATTTTAAAAATTCTAGTTGTGAGAAATTTCACTGCAATTATTCTACTGGTTTCTTTTCACTTAAAAAAAAAAAATCTTTTATTTCTATTTTGGACTGAACACAAATTTCTTTATATTAAACCCCTACATTCCCACTGAAATTCTGATCTATATTTCTCAGGTTTTTAATCTTTCAACCATGGCATCACAGTAGGAGATCACCTTATTTGATTACCTGACATGATCTTCCAATTCTGTTTCTTTGGGAAATACTGTTTTCCGGAATTATGCATTTAGGAAGTGAGGGGGAATTCCAGGCATAATGATGCCCCTAGACATTCTGTAGTCATAAGTCACATTTTTATGAATATCTGCCTTAATAATTTCATACAAGATCCTAGGATTTTAATGAAATGTTCTTCTGTAGTACCAAGAAAAATGTCTTATAAGACTGTATTATATTGTTTGATATCTCTTATTTGGACAGATATAACCTCATATTAAAAAAATCTAATTAGTTTAGCCATATGTATTTTCTGTAAGTCTGTATTGAATAACATAACTGAAATTACTTTTAGTTCCTTAGTAGTTTGTGTTATGTGCCAGACCTTGCATTACTTTACGTGAAATGTCTTGTATCGATAAGCAGTAATTCAGAACAGGAGTACAAAGCCAAGTTTCCCATTGTCAGGCCTTCCTATGGTCATTCTAAGGTCAGGTCATTCTAAGGATTAATGTCCTTCAGTTTTTCCTTTATTGTGGATATGTTTTTAAGAGGTTATTGTTGTTGTTTATTTTAAATGGGAATTCTCATGTTCTGGGAACTGAAGTTGAAAGTTCCTTCTGTTTGGGAAAATACTTGTTTGGGCAATATTTATTTTGCTTTCTCCTGCAACAGGCGGCCTGTTTCCTATTTCACATATGTAACAAGGAAATAATTAATAAAATCACTCTGTGGGGTATTTTAAAGCAATTTCTTGTATGATTTTAGTCTTAAATCTCTTTTTTCCACTTTTTAATAACATAGTAGTGACTTTAGAACACTTTAGCTATTCTGTGTTTTATGAAAACAAGTGTTTCAGTGTATTTCTGATCCCTTTATCAGGTTGGTTGTTTTTTGGTTTGTTTTGGGCTTTTTATCTGACAAATTTTGCCTTTAAACTAATATTATTTTTAGATGAAGGTTTATAGTCTTCTCTTAGGAATCTATTTCTAGGAACTTCAAAAATATCTCACTATTTCCACATAACCAACATTCTCCCTGACTCCTTTGGGGTCTCATCCCTTGCACTTCCATAGGAGAAAGAAAGTACATAATTACTAGGTGAAAGGAAGTTTATGAGGCAGTACTTTGCCTGTGTTGGATTCTGACTTCCACATGGAAACTCCAGCATCTAGAAACATCCTGGTTCTTTGGATGTATGAAAAACCTGCAGATCTGCATCAAATCTGAGGAGAAAGCACAAACTGGTTTGCATCTATCATGGCAGAAAAGTGTATCACAAGCTTTCCTTCTAACTGAAATGGAAAGTGGGAGACGACATCACAACATTTTGTCACATATATGTCATTCTAATCTAACGCATTTTTTCGGAAGATGTTTGTCTACCTTGTCTACTAGTCAGATGCATGTACAACCATTGAACAAATACCTTTGGTCCAGCATCTCCCACGCCTTTTGGGCCTGCTGGTCCTGGGGGGCCTGCAGGTCCTGGAGGTCCCTGGTACAGAAGAGGAGTAAAGCATGTCAATAGTTGTCCTAAAGGAAGAGTACTTGTGTTCTTTGACAAACAGGAGAATTTCAGCAATAGTTACTAATCTCTTTGGTTTTGCTGTATTTTGTCAAATTCTTTGCATTTCCAGTGTGTACTGAGCAACAGTCATCCTCAGTCGCAGATGGAAATCTGAAAACACTACCAGAGTGTTTGAAAAAAATGTCAGCTCTTGACTTAAGAACGTCGGAGTTGTTCTCAGCTCAGAGAAACCAGTGAGAAAGCAGACATTGCTTCATGATTCATATGCTGCAAACATTACACGTCTAGGGTACTAGAGCTAACCCATCTAAATTTGGGGGTTGGATAACCCTAACGTACTTTGGTGTATTTGTGTCTGATAGTCTGTTCTCCTGAACTCCCCACTCAATCTGTCACAGTCCCTTCAGCTGCCTTTCAGACTCTTGGAGGTATCCCCAGCCTCCCTTTCAGCATTCATAGGGTAGATGTCTCTGCCCCATCGTGCTACAGAGACTTAGCTACATAAAACTTGCCTGTGTCTGCCAGTGGTTTACAAAGTTGGTCTTTCCACATCATGAGGCATGGAAAGGCAGCCTGAGAAGAGGAAAGATGCATACTACAGAACAACAGAACCTTCACACATTTCAGGGACCTGCTCATGTGGCAGGGAGAAACACAACCAGCTTTTACAAAAGCCTGAGATTGAGTTGCAGAGAAGTATGACTCTTATGGCAGGTGGGAATCCTAGAATACACATGATCTCAGGAATACTACTGCAGAGCAGAACTGCTTTTTCTAATTGTCTAGTCACTAATAGAAATGCAGGAAGCGCATACACGTAAATTTGTCATCCCGTGACTGGGCAGACTACAACCAGCATTTGTAGTTTTATTTATCAATGGCTACCAAACCAGGCTGCTCTTGAATTCTTTGATTAATTAGAAATGAAAAGTTTTCAGCTTCTCACTGACCTCTCTGATTCTGTATCTACCAATATTTCTTTTTCATATAGTTTAAACAGATGTCTTAACTTTGAAGCTTAAAACCAGTTCCTATGAGGCATTTTAAGGCCTACTAAAAGTTTGTCAGTCATCTATTTGCATCACTGCCTTCTTCATGATTGCCTTTGTATTTGCTTTTAATTTTTATTTGAGATGACAGGAGGGCTTTTGCATGTCCTCTGTTTAATGGGTCTGGGTCCATTACTCGCACTCCTTGACCCTCCAACGAGTCTTGAGCTGGTCTAGAGTGCGTACATGCTATTAAATGTGTCAGGTACATGGCATTACACCAGGAATTCTGAGTGAATGTCCTCTGAACTAATTTTGATACCAAAGGATCTTCCCAGGATCAGTTTGAATGACAGGAAATTGGACTCAAGTCATGACTTATTTGTAAGCAAGCAGGTCCCACCTCAGTATATTTGGGAGTGTGTTTCTGGTTGCAGTTTGAAATAAAGATGGATAACAGACATAAAGAAAATAGTGTGAATCAGAGTTTGCCATGTGGTGGTTGAAGGATGGCAACAGTATTTCTACTTTCTAGTGAAAGGTTGGTCAAACACGTCTGTGTGGCTTTGAATGACTGAAATTTAGGATGATATGTGCTTGTAATGGAATGTGCCAGCTGGAATACTCAGCCATTAACCCCCTCTGGAGTTAACCATCAGAAAAGTAAGGTAGGGTAAAATCTTCAAAAAAGAGGATTTAAACCGCTGGTATGAAAAGCAGCTGAAAAACTAATGAATTGAAGGCTGCAAGATATGGCCAAGCAGATGTTATTAGAGACCTTGAACAAAGAATACTAAAGAAAAGGAACAGAGGGAAGGAGGGAAGGAAAAGAATTCAAAGCAGTGATTATATTAAACATGTACAAGCAGCCATGAAGATTTAGATGGAATCATATGGTATCCCTTTCATGATGCTGAAATGACTGCCTGTAGAACTGGCACTGTATCTAGGACAAGAAAGGACTTCAAAATATATATGAAATATTTAAATTATCTACAAGATGAAAGAGAAGATTAATTGCACTTAGTTAAGTAATTAAATATTGAGTTATCACAAAGTAATTAATTTTTTTTTTGTAGAACACAAAGTACAGAATTAAAATTGTACTTACAGCTTCACCTTTGTGGCCATCGCCTTTTGCTCCCCGAGGCCCAGGCAGTCCAGGTAGTCCTCGATTACCCTAAGTACAAAAAAGTAAGTCAGGCATTGTGCTAGTAACTGGATCATCACGATGTAATCGATATTAACAAATATGTAAGGAAACTATTTAATATCTTTTTGGAAATACAGAATAGCAGTTACCAGTTCTTGTAATCTGTTAGCAAAGCTCAGAATTTTTTGTGGGTTTTTATTGTCACTTCGATTGATCAAATTAAGATTTCAGAAGAATAGGAGTTCTCATTAGGAAATTATTAATTTCTAGATTTGTAGTTGCAGGGAGAAATCTTCAGACCATTGACTTTATCTTCAGTCAATGCAAAGTTACATATATATTTTTAAAAGTTAAACTTCTATGGCTTCAAGGGTGTCTTGACGTTTGAACACCAAATTTAACAATACCAAAACATAATGTGCCAGACTCAAGTTATCATATGTCATATATTTTGAATTTCCAGATAATCACATTGGTTCTCTCACACAGTAAAGGGAAACTGCATTCTACAAGGGAAAGAAGTAAAAGAAAGAAGTACAACTGGTTATAAGAAATATATAATTTGTCTCAGTTTAGCGTAAAATGCTTTGTATCAGGAGACAATCACTCCTTCTGTTGACTCTTCCGCTGAGTCCCACTAAAGATTTGTGCATTTGCAAAACCTCAATGCTTCCTTTAACGACCAGAAAAGAAGCAAATAGAAATCTTTTACTGTTCCCTCATTCCAGGGATAGTTTTCCTGACATTTAATGAGAAAATTAATAAGCTTGCAATAGACTGTTCTCCACAGAATCAAGAAAGAAAGCATATTACTTTGAGGTATCCCTCAAGATGCGCTGGCAATCTGTACTGTAGATGTTTACATGACAGCATCCCCAGTCAGAAATCTTTATTGATACTTGTCAGTCACACACCCACACCACTCCTCAGCACAGTTATCTACGTGGCCATACAAGGAGCACAGCCTTTGCCCAGTCCCACAGAACCAAGAAATGTAAATGGACTCTCCTGTAGAGTGTTGGAGGGTCAGTTGTTAATATACACACAGATGACATATCCTGAAGAATAATTACATACAAATAGCAAGTATTTTCCTGTCTATTCCAGTAAAAATAAATAGCTAGAAAAAAGAAATTACAAATGGCTGAAAACTGCTGTTTCATTGCTGCAATGTGCCTGGAAATTTCTGCAATAACATAATGCTTCAAGAAACCACAAATGGAGTCCTGATAGGAGCTCAGATCTCAGAACTGGTCTGTCTGTATATAGTCTCCATGACTGGAGAACAAACCAACTCATATTCTAGTTAGATATCCAACAAAACCAGACTTTGGGTCCATATTTCCTGTCCCATTAATGTCTCTACCATAGACACAAGCAATCAAATCTTAAGCAATTCAGCCCTGTCAAGGAAAAACAAAGGAGCTGCTTTGGCTCTCCTAAAGATATTCATAACAGGGTTAGGTTAGAAGGTAAGACAAAGTAGATTCAAAGTTTTGGTTAAGATTAAACCCTGAAACCACTTTAAGATGGAATTTGGGATAGGGATGCAAACATGCCTTACTGTTAAAGAAAACTATACATGGCAGGTCACTCCTGTATGAATCTCTCCCATTCTGCAGTCCAAAGGGATAGTTTCACTGGAAGACTTCCAACATAACCTGACCACCAGATTTAAACTTTATCAGCCCTGGAAGATGTTTCTTAATGTTTCCTAATTTTCAAATGATGGAATTCTGATCCAGTTCTGTGAAAATTTAACCAACAAGTGTGCTTCTAGTTCATGAACAGCTTTATAATGGAAAGGCAATTTTAGCTCTTCCTTATTCTTAGTACCCATAGTTCTTAAATTGTGGATAAAATGAGAAAAGTTTCAGAAATGTTTAATTTTTTTTTTTTTTTTTTTAAGGAAACCATGGCTCATGAGTTCATCTCTATTTTTACTTCTAATTCCACTGCAGTAAAAAAGGGCTAAACAGATGTTTTCATTTACTCTTAGAAGACCATTGTAAATACCGAATACATGTTGACACATTCTCTTCTGTAAGAATTGGGATTTTGTCAAGTGGCTGGTTTTGCCATTAGTAACAGAGCTATAAATCTACTTAAGTCAAATCTATGGCCAAATCTGCTATAAGAAGCAGTTCTCTAGTCCAGATTATTTAGTTTAATTTTTTTAATAGCTGCAACAAAAATACATAAGAGATGTCCCAGAAGCAATTCTGTGATTACTGCTTCCCACAGTTTTGTGGGGTCTGGAAAAGACAATCACAGTGACTCAGTCTAAGTCAGTGCACAGGCAACAAGGCCAGTGCCATTGGTGTCACAGATGGCATGCTGAATTTATTGATCTACTTTGACAACCTTTCCAGGGCAGGTTTTATTTTCTGAAGCAGTAATGTAAAGATAGTTTCTACAGTCTTTCAAAGAAAAAAAAAAACAAACACAAAAAAAAAACAGAATATAAACATAAATCTTGTGTCCATGGTTATTGTTAAGAAAAAAAACAACTGCCATAATCAAAACCTAAATGATTAAGTACACGACTGGACAATTAAGTAATGTTCATCACCTCTTTTTATACAAAAAACAGAGTAAAGTAGCATTCTATTTTATAGAGTAAGTAAATAAATTTAGAGTTTTTCAAAATTCAAAAATACAAGCTGCTGAACACATGTGGATCCATGTGCCATCCAGCATTCTCTGTTAGGTGTACTGGTAGAAGTCTGTCAAGCCAGGAGTAAAGCATTATTGGTATTCCTAAGGTGTTATTACACAAAAGTTAATACATTAAGTTGCTTTATTTTGAACTACATCATGTTAGGTACACATAAACTAATTAGTCTCTGAATTTGGGTCTATCAACTATATTCCCAAGAAGTGAAACATGGAGCTGAGTGGAACATTTTATGTGCAGATATGGTAAATACGAAAAAAAAAAAAAGGAAAAAAAAAAAAGGAAAAAAAAAAGGAAAAAAAAAAAGGAAAAAAAAAAAAAAGGAAAAAAAAATAGGAAAAAAAAAAAAAAGATATTTACTAAGAAAGGTCCTGATTTCAGTATGGAAAGGCAATCACAAGAAAGGTACCTTTCCCAAACACTGAAGGAAGTCTTCCTCAACTATTCCCTTATCACAAGTGGCAGAAGGCTTATAGAGTTTCAACCCAAGTCATGACTGATACGGTATCATAAAATGCATTAGAGGGGAGGTGGAGAAAGCTGCAAAGTAAACGGCAATATATCCAGTTTTTGCAGTAGAGGACATGGGATCTGTTCTAGGGACTGCGCTTTTCAGTTTGTTCTTAAATAATATAGAAAGGTGAGTAGCACTGTTTTCCAGTGACATTGTATTATACTGATTAGTTAAATAAAAGGAGTTGAGGAAAAAACCTACTTAAGGGTTTGAGCAATTTGGTGATAAAATATTAATTCCGTGCTGATAAAACCAGTCATAAATTTATGTACTTAACAGTCATCCTGAACTACTTTTACCCTTTAAGAAACAGGAGAGATAGATAGAACCATCCTTTGGAAAGGTCACTTCACTGTTCACCAGTGATTAAAAAACCCCATAAAAAACCATATGCATTTGCAAATTAATTTATATCTTTTTCCTCTAACTTATTTCCCACTGGCAAGAGGATGGTTCTTGGTATCACCTTATTTTTTGAGCAGCCTTATGTCAACTCACATGTACTACAGAGGAGAATTCACCAGTTTCTCACGTTGCAAAGACTGCAATCTCTGTGTTACCACTGAATCCTCAGTCTTATCTCTGGTCTTTCACTTGTGTATCAGTCTTGTCAGTGACCCAGCAGAAGCTTGAACAGTGAGCACAGTAATCTTGATACAGACCACTGTATTCCATTCTTAGTGTTGAAATTAAAAATGTAAAGGATATAACCAAGTAAATCCTATTCTGTAACCTATATACAAATAAGTACTTTCAAAAGATCTGACCTTTATTTCAGGTCTTAAGTTTTTGAATGTGCAAGGTTGGTAATAGTGAACAACACTGTTAAAATAAGCAATACCTCTCAGTGTATACTCAGTAAAGAGCATATTGCCCATACAGATGTATAAAAGACCACATGAGATAATGAAAGGTGCAGATGCATTTGCAGAGCTACCTTCCTAATGAAGACTTCCTGAGGGAATTTTGCAAGGTGAGGTACACTGGACTAGTTATTTGATCTATTTTGTGTTTCTTTGAAAAGATAGTAAGTTTATTTTTTAAAATAGACTTAATCTGGAACGATGGAAAAGTTGAAGAATTGGTCAGTTATTTTCCTGAAAAAGTTCTTCAAGTGGTTCCTACATTTTCATGAGTTTTGCACATCTCACGTTTCTTTATTTTCTGTGTTTTGTCTAAAAATTCATACCGTTGGTCCCATTATTGAATTTCCAGGAAGTCCATCATCTCCTGGTGGCCCCTTAGGTCCTGGATCCCCCTATCCAAAAATAAACAAACCCAAAACCATATTCATTATTTTCAGTTTTAATTTACAAAGTTTTACAGAAAACAACAAGTATTAAATTCTTTCTGACAGTGACAATAATTGAGCTAGGTAATAGGAAATCAGTATTTCTAGAGGGAGTTTTTATTACTTTGATTCTGATCTCTTTTACACTTTTGTTTCTCTGCAATTGTGTCAAAGAGTTCATTCTGCCTTGATGAATAACTTGATGGCTTTAGTTTTCAACTGAAGGTTGAATACCAGAATTCAGTTTCAGTGGCCAGATTCACCCGTGGCTTCTGCCTGCTTTTGCCCACAAAGAGAACAGCAAAGAAATTCAAAGACAAGTACTGACACAGAGTATGTTTAGAAAGGTTACAGATGCAATGGTGCAGCACTTCAAAATTCAAGCTCCACAGTCTGAAGATCCAGGAAGAAACTTGAGATTTTCCTCAAATATTACACAGTACAACTGTTTGGTAATCTTAGCTCTGTCAGTGGCCTCGAAAGCAATCAGGTTTAGAATTCAAGTTCCTCATGTTATCCCTTCACAGAGCAAAATTTGTCTCCTTCTAGTGTTTAATCTATGGCAACAGATTAAGGATTTACTCTACATTAAGGATCTTAAAAAAAAAGAATTTTCAATTTTCAATGAAACTTCTTCAATTTTTAATACTAGTGAGAAGGACAAACAGTGTTTCAGGAAACAGTGTTTCATTCACTAGGGAATGCAGATCAAATGTTCTATAAAAGCCACTGAGCAGTTGAAATCATGAGAAAGGAATATGAGAAAAAACCAGCTATCTAATGTTACTGTCTCCATATTAGTAACAGCATAATGGTTGTCAAGGGAAATACAACTCTAGTTCTCAAACGTGGGTGTAGTTTAAAATAAATAAATTTCCAGTGGACCCAACCACGGCTGTCCAGGAGCTAAGACCTCTAGCAATCAACCACTACTACATCAACTACTTAGAGATGTACTAAAATGACCTCAGACCATCAGAACTCCCAGCTTTGAAACACATGCAGATTCTCTGCATTAAAAATTTATAAAGCCTGGCTTCACAATTGCAGACACCAGGATGTTCCAAGAATACAATTACTAGGAATCATTGTACTCTCCACAGTAGAGAGAGAAAATGGACCTTCATAGACTGTTATATTATTGAGTAATTGTCAGAAACATAGCAAATATATATTTAAAAAAATAAATTATTATGAAGCTAAAGATACAAAGTTTTGTATATTAGCTAGAAATCAACTTGCATTTTATAATTACACAAAATACTTGTTTTCTTGCATCAGCCTCTGCACATAAAAGCCCTGATCTAAAATTTAGTAAAGACTCTAGTGGATTCTGGATTGTGGCCAGTCTGCTATGAAAGTGATATGAACTGTACTGAACAGAATAAAATCAGAGTGAAAAAGGCAATAAAATCTACAAAGTTCTTATTTTTCAGCATTAACTTTATCAATAAACAATCTTGTCTCACTTAATCATATATTAAAAAATGCCACAGTAACCAGAAAAATGCAAAGAAGGGAGACGGGGGTAGAGAAACCTGTCTTCATACAAGTCATGCCCTACAGCATGCCACTTGGATTTTCCTGACATGAAGTTTGGCACATTACTGTGGTTTTAAACCAGTGTAAGAGATATGAGCACTCCATAATCCTTTCTTCCTCCTCTGTGGTTGCATTTTTACTCTGAGCCCTGAGCTTCTTGCATTCCCTTCTTCCCTCCTCCTCCACACACAAACAAGCGTACAAACACCCTAGCCCTCTGTGGTGTCCTGTTGCCAGGCTGATGAGTACATTGTATGTACATCACCTACATGTGCTTGTGCGTGGGGGCACATTTTTAAAGAAGAAAAATGGGGATGAAATTACTTCAGAGTGTTATGATGTAATTAGTGATTTCTTTACCCTAAAAACTATCACCAAAGCTGAAAAGCATCAAGTTAAGTTGAAGTTAACTGACATATTATAAAACCAGCAAATATTTTAGTCTAAAAAAAAATATATGGGGTGGTAGTGAATTTTCAAATGTTTTTAAAACCTTCAATGTTAGCCTTACTGCTGCTGAATCCACCTATTTTACTCAGCAGGACAAGTTCCACTCATTTCAGGTACATTTTCCCCATAGAGAAAACGAGGTGGATGTAGCTGTAGCTATCTCATATATGACACTGAATTTAAAGTAGTGTCTACAGCCCAGCTGTTCACTTGGAAGTGACATACAAACATTCATCTCCAAAAAATAATCTAGTTCAGCATGTAACTCCCTAGAGCTATACTCATAGACATACTCCTGCAGGGATTGACTGCCACATTCAGTAAAACTTTAGTCTAAGAAACAAAATGCACAGCAAATTTGAAGGAAAAAAAAAAAAAAAAGACTTCAAAGTGATTAATTGATTAATTTCACAGGAGGGGCCAAAACACAACAGAAATATAATAATTTTTTTTGTTTTGGGAGGGGGGTTTTGTAGTGGGTTTTTTGGGGGGGTTGAGGGTTTTTTTGTTTGGTTTGATTTTGTTTTGTTTTTTACCAAATGGCTTCAGGAGGTAATAAGGTACTAAGTTCAGCATTCTGTTAAAGGGCCCCAAACACTCTCTGTTAATTTTTAGTATTTTTCAGTCCTTATTTCTAAAATTTAGTCATCTTTGTTACTACAACAGGGAATTTTAACTTCTTTAACTTACGTTCTTTTAATTTTGTCAAAAATGTGCACTAGAAATTTTCCAGACTCTCGTCCTGAGGAAACATGTATCAGATAATCACCTTTGGTCCAGCAGGTCCCTGAATAGACGATCCAGCGACACCAGGTGGTCCTCTCTCTCCCTGTTCACCCTGTTACAAAATGGTATCATCTAGATTTAAATAGACAGTTTCATTTTCTGCACAAGTAGCAAAAATTTTTTTCAACACTTTTATATTATAAAAATATTTACAATATATAACTACCTACAAAACAGACAATATTGGGGAAAAACCCAAGCTGGTCCAAGCTGCATGTTTTAAATAACTATTGGCTGAATTGTGTATTTGATTTTTTAACTTTAATTAAATTTTTGTGTCCAGCTTACAAATCCAATGGAATAATCAGAACACTTGTATCATTTCAACTTCCTTATCATTCAGAGCAACACTTACTTACAAAATATTATAATAGAAAGTTAATGTTTCAAAGTAAAAATTTGCTCATGGTTAGAATCACTTGAACAGCTTAATTTAGCTTCTCAGTGCTCATGCATAACTATAAAGTCTGTAATTATATGTTTACCTATTCTTTTTCTCCTTGGGACTTTTGTGTCATTCAGGAAAGAGGATGCAAATATTTCTGCTTTTCCTTTGTTCTGTTAAGTCTCCAAGCATCAGATGCTTGAGAAATTTGTACATTACATAAATCCCATAGATTATTTTATAAAATAGGAAGTGAAGAGTTACCCTGGAGGAACAAGCTTACTTTTGGTCCAGCTGGGCCTTGTATTCCTTTATAACCAATCAGTCCTTGGGATCCTTTTTCTCCAGGGTCACCCTGACAGAAAAAACCCTTTTGTTTCAATCACAGCAAAGATTCATTTACACTGGAGGATACACAAACAACCAAAAACACAATGATAATGACTGCTATCATTAGAAAAGTATTTAGATGCTTTACTTCAGCTGAAATCCCACTCAGTTCTAGAATCCACCCCAAATGTCCTAAATTTAACCAGGTGGAAGATAAGAGCTGTCTGTCTACTAAGACATCTTTCCAGGCTTTTAATTTCATATTTAAATATTTTACTAGTCCCCTAATTTCTCTTAGCTCTTTCTCTCTCCCTATCAGCATACTGAGATAATTTACCTCCTCCTAACTTTAATGAAAACTCCATTTAATTTTTAGGAAATCTCTATTGCCCATTTAACTTTAGGTTCTGTGTTTACAGTCTGATTTTGCTGCACTTGTTTAGGCTAAGGAACACATCGCTCTCTTTTAAATCCCTTTAAATCATCAGTTTAAACACAGTTGCTACTTAAGATATAATGAAGGAAAAATAGGCCAGAATCTGAACTCTTATAAAACAGGTCCTTCTAAAGTTTGTAGTATTTCTCCAGTGTGCATGTCAAGCCATACCTTTTGGCCTACTTCTCCTTTGCCAGGGGGTCCTTCTGGGCCTCTTGGACCTTGATCTCCCTTTTCCCCCTAACAGAGATTAGATGGTTAATTAATTTTCATGTAGCAATTTTCATAACTAGACTTATGAGAAACAATGCTTGCATAAACACTTTTCCCAAAAATGTCAGTAAATATCTGGTTAAATTTTTTTCCTGCAAAAAATATTCTGCCTTCATAAGCCCATTCCACCCTCCTGCATTCATATTCTTTATTTTCTCAGACATTCCTAATAGTGCCATTTGCAATTGCATCAATCTTTTGTAGGAAGAATTGCATGCATATAGTCATATGAGGAAGATAAATGCTTGTAAAATTATCAAAAAAGGTCTTGGTTGACAAATTCTAAGAAAAACAAATTTTAAGAAGCAGCAATTTTAGACAGCTCCATAGCCAAAAGCCAATCCAAGCTGCAAATATTTGCAAGAAACTTCACTTCAAATAATTCACAAATAATCCACATAAAACTTTCTATTAAGGAACATTATCTACAAAATATTTATGTATAAGTCATATTAGTATATCAGAATGCCTGTAGGAAATTCAGAAAGTGAAAAGTAGACTAAAATGAAGTTTAAAAATCCATTTCTGATTTGAGCTGTTGATGGAAGTGGCATCACAGAACCTACTGTTGATAGGCATCAGTCTGGATCCCACAGCTTCACGCTTGCAAATAACTGCTGTAACATCACTGGGCTACTCACTGCAGGCATCAAGCTGTTCTTTGCACTGTCCTGAATACCCCAAGGTAGCTGCGCAGTACTTGTATTTCACTTATAATGAATTACAACAGTGAAGGTGGTGGCACCAAGTTGATCATCAGAATAAAGGCAATATGCAAGAGAAAAAGCCTCAGTATTCCTAAACAGTCTGTAAGGAACAGGCTAAAGACACAAGCTACCTGTTCTCTAAGAAGATCATCAAATTTAACAGAATCAATAGCCCACTAAAGGCAGGGCAGCTAAATCAGTTGCACATTCAGATGGTAGCCACTGTTAGTAAAGTTTGTTTTAAAGATCTTAACTCGCCTAGTCCCTGGCACAAGTACTGGCACATGCCCTCCTCCAGGATGAACTCCTTGCCATTGGATATCTGCAAATAATAGTCTCTTCTTCTTTCATCTACACCTTTTACATGTGTTAAAATATATTTCCTTACCTTTTTCCCTGACTTCCCAGGATCTCCCTGCACCCCTCTCTCTCCTGGGAGTCCTGATAGACCTACATCTCCCTTAAAGAAGAAAAAATAATTATAACTGCATACTTCTATAAATTCTTTATTCTGTAAAATGGATCCAACAGTGTGTTAAATGTTAATGATATACAATATTTTTGCTCAAATAAGGGTTGTTATTCCCAGTAAGTTAAATATTTCATAGAGACTAATTTTTTCTATTCACACAATCTAAAATAAGTACTTTAAATTTCTTTCCAAGCTCCTCATCTACTTCTTAAATCCTGGTTTTGTATTAAATAAATTTACATTTATTCAGTTGAGTAGAAACATGATTTTTTGTTGTTCTGTACACAAGAACAATATGATACAAATGTAATTTACTTGCAAAGTCAAACATCTGGGACCTGGAACTTAAGGAATGGTCAGCCAAAAATACCTAAACAGAGTTGTTGACTGGAGACTAACACCTTGCTGCTTGTACAGACTGGTCTAGGCATTACTTTTAAGACTTGCCACAAAGAGTTGAAACTACCCATAGGAATTTGTCCTACCAAGTGCTTCTTCCATGATCCTGGGAAAAATCAACAAAACCAAGATGTCTATGTCATCTTACCCAAGATTTTGGAAGCCCTACTTAAATCATTAAGGACATGGTACACAGTCTTCAAAATGGCAGCTGAAGTCAAAGCTTTAAGTGTTTAACATCTCTTCTAACGTAGGCAGTAGGACCACCGCCGTCACACAGACTATATTTTTTTCAAATCATTGCAGAGGAACACGGGTAGTAACATTTTTAACATGCCTTGGAAATGCCTCACCAGCTTAGAAAGGATGGGCAAAAAATCTGTTTCAGTTATGGCTGAAGTAAGATTTTAGGAGAGAGGATGGGAGCTCTGGCACAGCATTTTGAGTTTAAAAGCTAAAACTGTGAAGTTAAGTGAGGCTCTGTCACTGAAATTCTTTCTTATTTTGATCATAGTCAATTTATACGAAAAATTTCTTCTACTTAGCTTATCAGCAACTAGTGAAAAAATCAGAATACCCCGTAAGGAGTAGTTAAAAATAAAAATAGGCTCACTTTAAGTCCTCGTACACCAATTCCTGGAAGTCCTGGTTCTCCTTTTTGTCCAGGTTCACCTGGTTGACCCTAGTAACAGAAAGTTTTGTTTAGCAGAGGAACACAATTTAGCTTCATTCATTGCTTGCACTGTTTCACTAACTGCTTTACACATAGAAGTGAACTTGATAATCCTTATGAGTCCCTTCCAACTGAGATATTCTATGATGTTATGATTCTAAATGGTCAAGTTTTCAGCCAGTTTTCAACTGGAAAATTCTGTTCTTCAAAAACCCCAGTAACCTGTAGGATTGCATCTATTTTAATTAACGTTGCAGTGGGCAGAAAGTCTAAGTGAATCATTCCAACTTTCTCCTTTTTGTTTTAATACATTTTATTTTTTACTGATACCACCATACCAAAAACCCTTTGATCACTGAATGAAAAGTGAGTCCAAATAAAGAAAAATCAGACCTTCTGTTTAAGAGAAAGCTTTACCCTCATGATTCTTCCTTCCAGTAGTTCTAGAACAGTTTAAAAAATTGGAATTCCATTTTTCAGTTTTGCTTTTTAAATACCTTTTCACACTAGGAAAATTGTACTCATACATAACGTGTTTCACAGCTACCTATTTTTCCCTATATTAATATTGAACATAGCTGCTGTAACTGCTACATGCCAAAGTAATGACCAGAAGAAAATGATTGTATTTCTCCCTGCTTTTGCTAGAGTAACTAATGCCTTCCTTTTGAAAAAGAAAGGTGATTACAAAGCATACTTCTGCTTTACAGATAGTTCATCATTTAATTTCACTTTCTCTCATTATTTCAGCAATTCCCTTTTTCTCCTCTTACAGTGCTCACCTGACACTGTATTGCTAAAGGCTCAGGCCTTGACAGAAGTAATAATTTACCCGCTTTCCTCTTCTCTTCCTCCTTTCCCTCATTCTGTGATGCAGTGCCAGCTACTAAGTACAGTTAAGCTCTTTTTTCTCTCTTAGTGTTTCTACCTTTGGTTTTGGTTCTTTCTCATGACGACCATGGAGGGCTGAAGGACAGGCTGAAGGAGTGGTGGGACTAGCTAAGTTTGGTAATATGCTTTATTTGAACACAATGTGTATGTGGCACCAAACTCATTTGATATAAATATGTCTGAAATATACTGTGTTTACAAAATTGTTTTCATTTAGAACCTAAAATACACATTCATAAAGGTTAAGGGCTGGCGCTAAGCAGAAGCCATATGCTCCATTTGGGGAACATCTTGATAACATTGGTGGTTTTCCCTCAAAGATTCAGAAGTGAATTTTTATCTTCAATGAAGAGTTACCTTTTCATCTCATCAAGCACACTCTTGAAAGTCCTGGCAAAAATGTGTTGCTTGTTTCTTGCTGGTGTTATTTTAAAAAATTAATAATGTCTGAATTATTACCTTTGGACCTGGCAGACCAACACCTTTGGATCCTTTTGCCCCAGGGTTTCCTTGTGGACCCTGTATACCCTACAAAACAAAATAAGTGAGTTTTAGCACATTAAACTCTTTCACATCTGAAATTCACCACAAATCCGTCTTTCAGTTAATAATTATTTTATCTTATCTTTAAAAGAAAACAATTTCTTTGCCTGTCTTTAGGCTTAATTCTGAGATCTTTATTTTTCCTTTGTCACTATCCTGTGGATTTTACTGGCATGTCCAAGTGTAATGACAACTACTGTTTAGGAAGAAAACAAATGGTAAGTGTCTCAGTATCTGCATCTAAGCCCTGCTGCACTGGGATAGTATGGTGAAAGCATGAATTCTTCTTTGCAAAAAAAAAACCCCAAAAAACAAACAAAAAAACCCAACCCAAAGGAACTTTTGAGATGTTTCAGTTTTTCTGTATTCAACTGTTAAACGCTGTGTTCAAGCTTCAAAGGGTTTGAAATTCAGAAGTAGTGGATTCTTACTTTGTGAAACTCTTATCTAGAATATGTCATTATCCAAGCAATGTATTTGATTTATCTCCTGAGCATGTTATTATGCAGATTAGACCAAATGTCTATTTGCTTAAGATCATTCAAATCAGTTGGAGTCACTTATATTTACAACCTTTGCCTAAAACTAGTTTGATACTTTTTAAAATGAAAAATCGCTGTGAGATTTTTAATATCTTCCTATCAAAATGTGATCTCTGATACAATATAAAATGAAAGCTACATGCACATGCTTATTACTTGTCCAAAATGTAGACATACCTGGCTTCCTGGGTTGCCTATTCCTGGTGGTCCTGCTGGGCCCTGTGGTCCTACTTGGCCTTGTTCACCCTATACAAAAAGCATTGCCATGAGTTAAATTGCAACAGTCCATGATAGCTGATTAACATATTTAAACTAAATACAAAGCAACAGTCTCCAAGCTATATTATCTTGAAGTTTGCTGCTTCTATTTGAGATAGATGCACTTGGAAAATCTGAAAGTCTGCCTGTGGCAAATGATCTAATAAAAATAAGACCTCTTCCTACCTACAAACTGTATCTCATTTATAACATTAGATGATCATAGCCGTAAGTTTATTACTAGAAGGATCCATAGTTTATCTTTATATACAGAGATTAATTTTGAAGATTTTCTTGTACAGAAATATACACAGTTTCTTGCAAAACACCCAGAAGAAAAACTTGCAGGTGTAAACAGAACAGCTAGAGAGTATTTTTGAAAAACCTTTGTCACATGGTATTGTAATGGTACTGTATATCACTTGGGGAGGGAACAGAGGAATTATGGCAGAGGGAATTATGAGAATAGAGGAGTATGGGGAGGTCATGTGTGTATTTGGGTACTGGAAATGGCACAGACCTATGAAGGTGTCAAGGATGTGTGACACCAGTCCCTAGAAAACAAAAAAAATATTAGTTTAATTTATGCCAGAAACACTTATTTACTGAAATGGTCCCAAACACCTACTGTCCTGGCCAACGCTGCATTCTCCCTATACAGACATGGGAATAGGATCACTCATTCTTGCACAGACAACAAATCTTCCTCTAACTAAGGCCTGAAGCAAAATGGCCTGGCAGGTGCTCACCAAACATATCTCTCACAGGCCAAATCAGACCACCACATACCACCCAGGCTGCTCCAAAGACTTTGAAGAGCCATTTGACTGGACAGGGAGATGAGTAAATTCAAGTTAAACTTCCCACATCCACAAAGCACTCCCTGTTGACTAAGTTGACAATTACTTTGGGTGGGAGCGTTCACTGAAGCTGAGTGTGGGGCAATGAGAGCAAAAGTCATAGGGACAAGAGGAAAGGAAAACAACAGGGAGTAGGGCGAGGGCTATGGCACTAAATTATGAGAACGAAGATCTCGAATTGCTGCCTCTGCCCTATAAGACATTTGGGCACATTGCACCACCCACTCTCTGGGGATGCACAAGATACAGGCTGGACTCTCATCAGGCCAAGGGAATTAAAATTGTTCTGTCTCCCTCTTTGGGGGACTGTGCACCGAAAAGCTAACAAACGTCAGAAGCCAGAGTGTTCCTTTGCCAGTTCCAGGTCCATTAGATTACATGACTCCAAGAGGCTTTTACCTTTTCTTTTAATATTTAAATAAAATTAATAATACTTTAAATACAATATTTCAGGAATAAATTTAGGCAGAAAAAACTCCATTTCTTCTCTCATACTCCCAGCTGCATAGAATACAGTACTTGGGGCTCTCAGTTAACATTAGCAGGCTCGGCTACTTGTATAGATGTGTGCAGCCTATAGAGCTGCATGAAACAGTGTAGGAGTTCCTCAGATGGCAGGCAAAACATACCTTCATAGTGTTGTGATATTGTGTGAATAATTAATCATTAATTTAACTATAAATACAATTAACTACAGATACGATTAGAAAAATATTCCGTGCCTCACCTTGTCACCTTTGATTTGCTGACCTGGCAGTCCAGGAGGACCAGCTATACCTTCAGAGCCTTTTTCACCCTAGAAATATGTGACAGTTTTATAATTGTGTTTGGGAATTTATAAAGAACATCATCCTAGACAAACTGGTCATCATAATGTGGATAATGAGGAAAAAACAAGAAAAATAGTAAATGGAATGATTGGTATTAGAGAAAAACAATTCAGTTACAATTCATAACTTGCTTCATCTGTATTCACTGTGTTGTTGAACACAAGACTTCAAAAGCAGAAAATGAAATACTAGGAAGAAGGAAGCCACATTTGAAAATGCAATAATATGTTCATTAGTCAGAGCGAGCAGTTCAGAACCTGGTGCAAGGACGTGACTAACATCTTTTCCATAAAAGGAAGAAAAACCTTCTTTGCTTAGTAGTTCAAGGCTCTAGAGAATCTTGAAGCCACTAAAAAACAGGGATACATTTTGATGGGAAGCCCAGTTGTGATTTAATCATAAATCTTTGCTTGTTTGTACTTATTTTTAAAAAAAGGAATGTTCACATATATTAACCTAGCAAGTGCCCTTAATGAGGTAACTGTCCATAGAGACTCATACAACCCATATTTTAGTTTCCCAAAATGGTAAGACAGAATGAAAACAGTTCCCCAATATTTTCTTCTAGTACAGAATATAAACAGCTAAGTAGTCTTTCAGGAGATGATTTATCTCATTAACGCTCCCAAAATAAGGTATCTTATTAAACACGTAAGTAAGGGAATAATTAACTTACTACTGTTAGAGAGACTGTGCAACTTTTTTGTGATTATTTTGATAAATTTCTGAACTTGGAGAGCACAGTGATTCAGAAGACCAAGATCCATCAGCTGGCATTTTATACCAGTGGAATGACCAGTGATCAGAAATAAGACACTACTGCAAATTTGGCCCACAATGTTAAAAAAAAAAATTTCCATAATACTACCTTTTGGCCTTGAATGCCCTCTCCTGGTAGACCTTTCTCACCTGGCAGACCATCAGGGCCACGTGGTCCCTGTAAGAAAACAAAAATATATTCAGACTATATCAGCAATTCAACTTTTATTGATGTTTTGTCTAACTTGCTAGTGTAGGTTCTTGCAACTCTTATGACACTGGTAAGTTAAAATGCTTCTGTAACAGCTGGCTGAGCCCAGACAATTAAAATGCAGTGTAGCAACCCTTAACTGGAGGATTTAGATTAGAATAAACTAATGCTGAAATGGTGTGAATTACATAATTAATATCTAAAGATTGTACCATTAGAACTCAAATGAACCTGTAGATTAATTTATCATAAATACACTTACCACTGTGAAATTTATTCCTTATAATTTAATATAATTTCATTATTTTAGTAATGAAAATCATTAATTTGAACAGGTTTTTTCATACAAAATGGCAAGTTAAACATACCAAATTAAAGAATGCCAATTTTGTTTTAAACGAGTACAGAAATAATTATTTCTATAATATTTTCTGTTCTTCCACAAAATTCAGCTATCTTTCATTATGTAAGGCTAATAAAGAGTTTTCAAGGATGATCGTAATTAAGTAAAGAGTTTCTACATTTTTTGTGAGAAAAATAGTCTTTAACATTCACAAAGTGACTTACAAAAATACTATTAGAATGAATCTAACATACATCCACATTCATGGCTTCTTAACAATCTCTTTGAGATTTTTAATGAAATACTTAAGAAAACCATACATTTTATACATTTCAGGAAGAAAAAGCAGCTAGGGAACACTAACGCAACATTAGAAAATGCTTGCTAAAGTTCTGTGATTCAGATGATAAAGATATAACTAAAAGCATATAATTTGGGTCTTTGTTTTTGATGCAATCCAAATTGCACACAGGAGTTGAGGAATTTCTCAGCTCTTAATTTTACGCTTCTTAAGATTTTATTTTAGACAATTTTTAAAGATTATCCTCAACACAAACAAGTAGGGGTACAGTTATTTATATACAACTCCATGTCTTTCTGAAAACTAGATACTGCAGGCCTGCTCACATGCACCAAACAATTTTTTACTTCCCCAAAACTTGTCTGGACATGGCTTTGTTCTCCTACTTGGGCAAGCCACATGCAGTTACTGCCGCAATACTGGGCTGGAATAGACGAACACAATTCTCCTGCTCCAGACTAGATACAAGGTGGTCTATGGAATGAGTAGCTAATATAGCTGCTACACCCACTAAGACTTATTTTATTATATTTCTACTTCCAATGCATATATCACTGACTTACAGGTAATCCTGGCTCACCAATTCCAGGAGGTCCTGGAAATCCAATTTTACCTTCTTGACCTTGAGCACCCTTGTGAAAAAGAAAATTAGGAAGTTCAGTCCTAATTCAATTCGATGCTTTTGAAAAACATAACATTTACATATAGATGACTTAATGTCACCAGAAAGGTCCAAGATCAAATGCATAACATCTCCTGATGTAAAAAAAGCATAAATAACAATTTAGAAACATTTGAAAGTACCTTTTGGTTAATATTTGGAACACTAGATCACATTCCAGCCCTCATGCCAACAGCAAACAGGTGTTATCACTTTGCACAGGGGTAAAGTGAAGGGCCTGAGAGATGACAGGGATGAGGGAGCAAAGTCAGGCTTGATTTGGTTGCAGTACAACCCAACCATGAAGCAGAAATGCTCAGGTGTGAGGGATCCTCACCATAGCCTCTATCTAGGCACTCCAATTGCATTGAAGCCTGCTTCAGTGAGATTGCATGGAAACTTCTGGAACTGTACAGTTTCTGTACCTTCTATTTATAAGGTGTCATAATCTTCACAGTTCCTCAAGTTTACTGTGGACTATGTGCTTCAAGGGTAAGAACACAGAGGATTTTTATCTCTCCCCAGAGTAGTACAGAGACTCGGCGTGACATTCCTTCTCCATGAACTATTTTCCCTTCTGGAATGACTCAGTGTTGTTCCTTTTACATGGCAAATCACTAGTTTCTGAGCTATATAAAACCCTCTCTACGTTCTGGGGTCTGCCCCACTGCGTAGAATATATGCAGGAGTTCAATGACTATACAAACTAGAGCAGTAAAAGAAAAAAAAAAGTGTTTTTTTAGACACTGCCACTTGGATCCAAAAAAAAAAAAAAAAAAAACAGAAAAAATGACATAAAGCAACACCAAGGACTGAGCAGCCAAAATAACTAGGGTGAGATTTAATTCTGCCCAGTTTAGATTTCTTGTTAGAGTCTGAGCTGTAAGGCTCTGACAAAACACTCATAAACAAAGTAGTCGTGTTTCCTATGTGGATGCTTTTACAGTTTTCCAAGAGGAGATTTGGCTGGCCAGCATAGGCAGACATGACTCTTATAGTGAGACTGGATTCCACCTACTAGTCTTTGGTAATAAAATAAGATGGAGGAAATAATGCTGCATGTGAGAGAATGTTATTAATCTATAAGAATATCTGTTCCCTAGTGAAGAAATAACAAGGAAAATCTGTCACTTGACTCTGTATCACAGTGACTGAGATATGCCATGAAGTATGGTTTACTCACTAGTGCAAGCACCTGCATATTTAACCTCCCTTTAAGTGCCATTATTTCTGACTTCTATTATATCAGTGGGATCATAATAAAAACTTAGAGTTGCTGGAAAGGCAGGTCTGTTATTTCCATCCTATGCAAACACAAAAACCTGTCAATATTGAATATCAGTGTTATATTTAGATGTTAAGAGTTTGAGTTTGATAAGACAGTAGGTGAGAACTTTCATTCAAAAAATGACTGCCCATAGTTAGCACTTTAACAGACATAATACTGAGAGTTACCTTGGGTCCTGGCTGTCCAACACCAGGGAGTCCTGGAGGACCATAGGGACCTAAAGGGCCCTGCTCTCCCTAAAGGAAAAAGAATGAAAAGAAACTATTAGTGCAAATGGAACCTTAACCAAATGCCGCCAGAGTGTCTTTCCACAGCCACATTTAGGGCTAAAGAAATATGTTTTTAAAGTAAAAAACAAACAAACAAACAAACAAATCCCTCCCAAACCCCAACAACAAAACCAGAAAAAAACCCAAACCAAAACAAACAAACAAACAAAAAAAACCCAAAAAACTGTCTTGAAGATAAAAGTTTAGATTAGGAGCAGGGTCAATATCCTGGCCATACAAGTTGCTGGGATAGATAATGTTATAAAGCCATTCTTTCATAGGCATCAGGAAAGACAAACACCACATTTATTCTTTGCCTTATCTTTGGTTCTGACTTTATTCAATAATGTGGTGCTTCCTCGGTCTTTCTTGCTAGAAAGATGGGCATTTGGAAATTAAGCAGTGAGAGGTCAATAAAAGTGTAAAAAACTACTTCAAAGCCAGATATTTCTCCATAAATCTACCAGTTTGTAATCTGATAAAGAATGACTCTAGAATGCAGGAATGGGAATATACAGTAAAAGTAAATAAACAGATTGTCCTTGAAGCTTAATTTCTGATAACTATGCACTTGGAGCGTAACTACTGCACTAAACTTAGAATAATATGGAACTTGATGCCCAGTCTTAAATTCATTCCATTACAGGACAATAGGATAGTTTGAAGAGCAGCTATGAAATTTAATGCTTATTCAAAATACAAGATTTTATAATATGCTTTCATAATCTAATAAATTAATACAGCATCAATAGGAGGTAAGTCTTAAAGGCAGAGAAAAATCAGAGAAAGCTGGTATAACTCAGCAGCATAGCAGATGTACCTCCACACAACACACTGATAGGCTATCAGCAACATTGACATTGCTTTAATGTGGATTCTGTGCATGTAGCTGTTGCCAAAATACAGAATATAGCAAAGTTTACTATATTCTTAGGTAGACCTTACTGTTTGGGTTTCCTAATAATATTTTCATTAAGCCTTTGGACCAGAGTCATAACTTGGTTGATGTGTATCCAGGTTATTGTAAATTATGCAATTTTTACTGCTATAAAGCCAATTAGAAATTGATCCTTTTTGTTCACTGCTGTTTTTTTCCTCCTGCATTTGTTTTGAAACTGATCAAACAACATCAAAAATTCCTCAGATGGCCCATCTTCTAGACCTCCAGTTCCTCCATGGGATTAATTTGCCATTGATCAAACTGTCTTTTTAAAATCAGCTGATCAAAAATAATTTTTATTAAGTGTTTCCCATCAGCAGGAAATTTAGGGAAGGCCAAGAATAATACAACCAAAGCTCATCCTTGTCTCCTCTTTAATTCTCTTTACAAACTCTCTGGTTTAAGTTCTGTTGTCCCTTAAGCCAGCAGTTAGCTCAATTTCAGGGCTTTTTGAGCTGATTCTGTTTAGACAAGAAACAGGGGAAATAGGTAAGGAAATGTTTTATACTATTTCTTTAGAAAATAATATATACTAAACCAAACATTCTCAGAAGGGTTTTAGTGACTTAGAAGCCTCCATCTTATTTTCAATGGTAGTAATTTAGGCTACTGAATTTCATTCATGCCAACAGGTCACAAGCATCTAAGCATCAGTGGAAGTTCAGCTTCTGACAGCACCACTATGTGGAAGTGCACTGGCAGAATTATATCAGCAAAGCCACAGTGCTGTAGTTACACACACCCAGCCCCGTGGTGGGCTCTGCTTCCAGGGCAAAATCATCCCCACGGGAGCTACAAAAGTAAAACTGTCTTATTAAGTTTCAGTAGAAAGTTTTGCAAATAAATTTCCGTGCATAGACACTCCCTCAAGGACAGAGATAGTTCTGCCACTTTTACCCACAGTTGTGCTTCTTGCAAAGGTGGTCAAGATGCAAAAAGCATGGGTTTTGGAAGAACATTAAGCCAAGCACGCCAGCCTGGTGCCCAAGAAGCTTTGCCTTTCAGCCTATAGGCTCCCTTACCTCACCACCAACTCTTCCTTCTATAGCTGCCCATTTGACAAGCAACATTAAAAGATACAGCTCCATGTAGCTTCAGGGCCCGAAGACAGTCCAGTTAGGGAGGGACTTCCCCACTTGAACGAAGAGGTGCCTCAGTGAGAAAGAAATAGGCACAGGCTGCCGTACGGCCAGGCAGTATGCTAAATATTAGCTATTTAACATCACAGTTCTCATTTCTTTCATGGAGAAGGCAGCCTGGGATCTCTGCTGTGCCATGATGTATTAGCATACCCCTCAGAATGAATGCAAAAGATACGCAAAGTTGAAAATATATTTTTTTAAATCTATCAGATAAAAAAAGGTAATAATTGAGCAGCATGCAGAGCCATGATGTGCAAGTAGGCTCATCTGGGCACAGCAAATGCCACTAAGCACATAGGCTCCATTTTTCATAAGTAAACCTCTCAAGTGGTGTAGGAATTTGTTCCATTCTGAAAACCAATGTTTATGATAAATACAGGCTCGTCTCCCAGCTGAAACAATAAACCAAACCCCTTTGTTGTGTTTGGAAAGCGTCTTCCAAATTTTTTGTCCCATCATCCAAACGGATATTGTGTTTTGCATCTATTTCTGACAGTCCCTGACAGAACTTCCCAAGGACAGTAACTCTGAGTGTTGCTTCCTATTGCAAATCATTCACTCCTTTGCAAGTTCACCCACATGATAGATCTATGCTAATATATG